AAGATTGTTTCGTATTATATAGAATCAATTAATCAAAGTTCAAAATTCAACATAATAAAAAAAAAATAGGAAGGAGATGTTGAAATAAATTAGAGATACGAACGTAATCAGAGTAGAGTATAAATATTATATTTATACAATAAAGTACAGTGCATGGCGCACATTTCAGCCAACTAACAATTATTTAATACTCACAAATTAAACATGTTGTAATTATAGACACACAACCGCATGTACACAAAAACATCAATAATTAAATATGAAAAAAAAAACATTTTCGCGCATATATTTCGCGTATATTTTATATGAATTTACAAGATTTTTTTTCCTTAAAATAATAATTTAACCTTGAATTTTATATTTTATATTATGTTTTCTTGTTTATGTAAAAGTTGAACAATTTTCAATTAAATTTGGTTAATATATTGTTTTTAAAATCAAGTCGAAACAGTATCGATCCGCTATTACTTATATAAGTTTCATAATGTAATATTTTTTCTTTTATAGACAATAAAACCAAATATTATGTTATTATATACCAAAAATACTATACAAACATATATTTTGCTATATAAACTTATATTTGTGTAATAACCTATGTTTTCATAAATCTATATTTCAAATGAGATAAACACATTTCTTAGGAGTCATGTAATCTTAAAAAGGTATTAATGCGTTTACGACTTTTAATGATAAATAACATTTATAATAATGAATACTTGGTAATGTATGTAAATTTATTATGACACAATGCAATGTAAATATTTAATACGTAAATTAAAAGGTGTTTAATGCCAGAATTTTCAGATACATTTTAAGTGTATTCATAATAAAACATTTTGAAAGTTATGGTAAAACTTTGTAATAAAGAATATCTGATAAAGAAGTTAAATAAATACCTAATAGTTAACTAAATGTAAAAATAAAAAATAAATCAAGCTAAACTATTGAACCGAGTAAGCAAAACGTGTCCTTCTCATTGACACATTTCCTTATATCTCTATATCACATGTTTTTTTTTCCTATAGTAAATTTTATTTAAATGTAAGATTCAATTTGAAAAGAGTTAAAACTATTAAGTATTAATTATAAGTGTTAGCTTTTCTTTTCTTTTATAAAAGCAAGGACCTTAAATTTATGTAATAACCTACTTAAAAACAAAAATTGTTCTTTGAATGTTTAAATTTTAATGTTTTGTTGTGTAAAGTTGATATGTGTTACAGTGATTATTTAATTATTTTCTGTAAACGATATAGTAAATATCATACTCCCAGAAATTGTAAATAAAAAAAAAAAATAACGCATTTTTTTTGATGGATGTAAAATTAAAGTAACTATCTAAAATTATGTATAAATAAGAATCATAAAAATAAATCTATTATTTTACACGTATTCATATATGTATGTAATAATAACATCATACGATGTAATCGCAAACTTTCCCATAAACGTACTTTGGAATTGAAAACAAAAGTGTCACAAATCGCTTACGCAGCTGGGATCGCAATTTGTATTTTGATCTGTCTTTTGTTATGTGATTATGTTATTGTTATTGAAAATGATTACGTGGCTTAACATTGACTTCTTTGTTCTGTTCATCTTAATATGAAATGAAATAATTAAATTTTTGGTTAAATTGAATGACCTCAGTAAATTATAAGATTTATAATATATTGAAATTATTCTTTTAGGAAAGCATTTAAGGGATTTAAATAGTTTATTTATGATATATGATTAAATAGTGAGCCTCGATTCTTAAAAATATGTATATGTAAAGGAAATAATTCTTCTCTCAATTGACATATAATTTTATGACTAAGTTAAGTTACTCGTACGTAACTATTTTATTAACTGAAATGAGAATCATAGAAAGGACTATATACATTGGCCATGTTCTTAATGATGTATACGCGAGCTGTGTACGTGAAAGAAAAGACACAATAATTTGATGAATATTATTATTAATGATATTTAATGCCATGCAGTAAAATGAAAAACAAATAATAGTTACCGAAGAATAAAGTAAATATATAAAGTTAATAAAAAAGTGAATTAAATAAAAGTATCTTGAAATGTAAAACAAAATATAAGAAAATATTTTTTAAAGTTTATAAAAAAAAAAATGTAATCATTAATTTTTTTTATTTTTTGGTCGGTGGGAGGTGTAGTGCCCTGTAGACTCCCCTTTACCTCCGACAATATACATTTATAAAATTAGTATTAAGTATAGAATAGAAGACAGTATAATTAAAGTTCTTGTACAAGCAACACGTCTCCTTCATTCAGCACCTTCCGAGTTCCGACATTACACTACAAAGGAGCAATTAAACAAACTTGAGCGATTGCAAAAGGTTTGCATTCGATATATTTTTGGACTCAAGAAGTTTGACCACGTCTCTAAATACAGAAAGCAGCTCAAATGGCTCCCGATCCGTTTTCGTAAGGAACACTCGTATCCTATGTCTTCTTTTTAATATCTTACATATTCCGAATTTCTCTTCATACCTTCGTAATCGATTTACCTTTTTTAAGTCTACAGATGCAGTTTGTAGATCTCACCTTAAAACCCTCTTAAAATTCCCATCCTTTAAAGCTCATTCATATTCCCGTTCATTCTCTGTACATGCAGTAAGACTCTGGAATTAATTTCCTCCTCCCATTCAAGAAATCAAAACTGTCACATTATTCTAAAAACGTGTAAAAGAACATTATTTATCTCTGTCTTCTATGTAAGTTTCCATATCTTTGATAGTTACTACCCTTTTTATTATTTATATATATTTAATTATGACTATATATATACATATATATATACACATATACATGTATATATATATACAGGTTGTCCTATTAATGGTGGATAATCTGGTACGTACGTGTTTGGGCGGGAGGAAGGTGGCCTCGGTTCCCTAAAAAAAATTCTATCCCGAACGGTTCGCGGTCTACGCCATGTTTTATAAAATTCCGAAAATTCGTACTTCTGCTCACATTTGTGGCTATCACGTCCGCAGTTTAATGCCTAGATCGGATTTTTTTCTTTTAATGTGTTCCCTAATAATGATGTTTCTAAATTAACCTTAAAAGTTTTTAACTACTATGGGTAGTATTTTACAAGACTGCACTAAACATAAGTTTAAATTTTTTACTTTATTTAACTGCTAAGTTTGAGCACCTGTGGTGAAAAAAAAACGTATAGGATCTGTGTGGCCAACCATTTAAACAGTTTGCCTATATCATAAGGATTATAAAACATTAGCATACCATGTACTTAATGTCATTACTTACTGAGCTATAGCCGTTAATGTGTAAAAGTAGACATTTCATTACAAATTACAAAATTATTGGCAGATAGTTTTTTTTAAACATTGCATGTCTTTATTAGGTAAGTACATTTGTCGCCCTTGAAAATTTTACTTTACTACCTGCTCGCCATGTTTGAACGAATTCTAAGCTGTGTGAGCGAGACAAACGGTGCTTAGGATTAATGTGAGTAAAAAAGATCGACAGATTCTCCATTGTATGAATTCGTGTTTGGAATTCGTGTTTGGTTATTGTATAGTAGTAGTAGTTTTTTTATAGGATAAGAGTGACGAACGAGCACACAGTCCACCTGATGGTAAGTGGTTGCTGTGGCCCATGGATATCTATATATATTTTCGATTAAGAATAAAAATGCAGATGCGTTGTCACCCGTGAGGTCTAAGATGGAATGCCGCGTTTCCAGTAAAAAGGGTCTCCGGTTCTCTACACTCACCATACGAAACACAGCAGCGTTAAGCTGCTATTTTACGCTGGTATGCTGTGAGAGCGTGGTCCTTCCCCGGTCGAGCCAACCCATTCGAGCTACAACCATAATATAGCTGCAGCATGGCTTTACCACAGATAAATGACGAATATGTTTACCCAGGACATATTGTGCGACTAAGCAAGTCCAACTTCTACCAAAAGGATAAATCCTATTTGGCTTGTCGCCATCGAGATGGCGCGAGACATCTTGTTATCATCAAAACCTTAAAACTAGAGTGTACAAATGGCCACACGGAGTGGTGAAATATGAAGTTGAGATGACCTTCACTGCTGGTCATATGAGAATACTCGGCGAGTTTTGGGAAGGGCTCAAAATTTGTGTGTGTGATAAAATTGATAACATTTGTATTAGCAGTAGAATAACATTCACCGCACCGATGTAAACAGATTTTTCATCGCACAAATAAATGTACACGGGCTATATGCGGTAAAGCTCCATTTGATAAATGCAATCCCCAATTCATTAAGTTGCGTATATTAACAGGCACATACTAAATATGTATAAATTTGTAGCTCGAAGAGAGGCCATATTGCGCGAAAAACCGTCAACGGATAGGGAAGAAAGGTTATCGAGTGGCAGCATCGTATCGGTAAGCGAAGTGTAGGGTGGTCCCCCCATTTTATGGAGTAACGAACTGTTTACAAATTATTAGTTGCTCGTAATCCGTATCCGGATTAGTAAACTGAAGTGGCAATGGGCCGTCTACATAGCTCGAAGAAGCGACAACCGGGAAGGAAGGTTCTGGAGAAGCAGCCTAATGACGTTAAAGGAAGTTTAAGGCGGCCTTCCATTAAATGGAGTGACGACTGGAGGTGACATGCGGGAAGTTGATGGATGTAAGTGGCTCAGGACGTTCCTTGGGGGAGGCCTATGTTCAGCGGTGGACTTGTGAAGGGCTGTAATGGTGATGATTATGACTTTTAGAAATTTCTCTAAATTCTTTGCAATATTTTTGATTAATTTGCTTCTGTTGTCATCAGAGTCGAGTGTGCGACATGTGTCCGTATCGAGAGCTCATCTTGGTGCACTGCCCGATGCAGCATTGGACGGACGTCGTTTGCGCACGCTGGTACTTGTTGCTTCGCATCTACATCAACTTGAAGCAGCTGCTCTATCGTCTGTATCATGCTATATCTTAATACATTTTGTTTGTTAAACTTTAAATTGTAACAAATGTTTTGTCTTCAGGTCTATGACGTCAACGTTAGCCTCTTTGGATCTAAGCTATAATGAATTCACGCAAATACCAATCGAGGCCCTTAGGCACCTGAAAGTATTAAATTGGCTAAACCTACAAAAGTAAGTTAAGGCCCATCAGATAACGGTCAAGATAAAGAAGGCAAATAATGAATTAAATATTGGAATTTTGTTACAGTAATCTTATCGTGGACTTGGATCCGAAGATGGATTGGGGTTTTTTGGCAGACTCGTTAAGCAGTTTGTCTTTAAGCAATAACCAATTAAGCTTTCTAAGAGAAGGCGCTTTGACATCTTTACGACAATTAGCTCAATTGGAATTGGATGGAAACAGACTTCAAGAGCTGGAAGCACATGCACTACCGGTCTCCCTAGCGCTGCTGCGACTATCCGACAATTTACTGACGCGAGTACCGTGTGCCGCTCTAGCTCCTCTGACACGTCTACGTCATTTACATCTCCGAAATAATGCATTAGCGGTGTCGCTAGCAGTAAACCGGTCTTGCCGCGCGGAACGCTACCGTATTGATTCGCTCGACTTGAGTCACAATGACCTTACAGACAGCTTTGAATTTGACTTTACACAGGGACTTCAACTAAAGCAACTAGCATTAGATCTAAATGATTTTACTGCGATACCTCCATTTGTACTTGAATGCGGACGTATAGAGAAACTATCAATTTCTTATAATGAGCTCACGCATCTGTCTGATACAACCATACTGGCTCTCAAACATGACTTGGAACGTCTTGATTTAGATAACAATGAGTTAACTTTTTTACCTCAAAGCATGCAGGAACTGACTCGTTTGAGGCACTTATCACTTGCTTATAATCAATTGCGGGATATAGAGTGGCTGCCGCCTCGTCTTCGTTCGTTATCTTTGGCAGGCAATTATTTAGAAGGATTACCCGCAGCACTAATAACATTAGAGCCGGCTGTACTTCATTACCTTGACGTCGGTTATAACCGTATTACATACGTGGCTCCAGAGTGGTTTGGCGCGTGGTCAGCCGCACTCGCAACGTTAAGCCTACGTGGTAACCGAATTTCACAATTGGCAGCTGACGCTTTTCCTTCTGCGTTACCGCTTCGGGAACTCGTGCTTAGTTTTAACGATTTATATTATGTGGAAGCGAGCGCATTTTCTAATCTTACTTCACTACAGGTTCTAGAATTGTCGTCCACTCTTTTCAGTGGTGAAGTTCCTGCTGGGCCCGCTTTTCGAGGTCTCACTTGGCTGAGTCTCGACAATAATAACATTCACTTTTTTTCTTCCGAAGACATGGAGTATTTCATTTCTTTAGAGTATCTGAATTTAGATTTTAATAAACTTATTGAATTTCCCAGTCAAATGCTTGAAACGAATAGTTCCTATAAGATAAAGGAATTGAGGTTAGCTTATAATTATATATGCCGACTAAATTCTGGATTTCTCACAAATTTAATAGATTTGCAAAGCGTCGATTTATCATATAATCGCATGCATAACGTAAGTGAACGGACGTTTTCCAATTTACTGAACATAATTTATTTGAGTTTAGTTGGAAACGCTATAGAAATCATATCAGATTTTGCCTTTAACAATCTACCTAAGCTTGAAGTTTTAGACTTGCAGGAAAATAATTTATTAGAGTTCTCTACAAAATATTTTTATAACGTTTCCAATGAAGAAAGTAATTTTTCCGTTAACGCAAGCTATAATTCTATAACGTCACTTGTCGGTGGTCCAACTGCTTTCATCAATGTTTTGGATTTATCACATAATTTAATAGAAAGTGTTTCCAGAACATTTTTTGATTCATTATCTCCACATATTCGTCAAATAATTCTATCACATAATAGACTGATTCAAATAGATAACTCTGGTTTTGGCTACTTACCAAAACTTGAGATTCTCAATTTACATGATAGTAATATTAGTGCTATTAGAAGAAAAACATTTGGTGAGCTAATTTCACTCCAGATATTGGACTTATCACGAAATAGATTGACACAGCTATCCGTAGAACAGTTTTATAATTTGCAGAAATTGCGTCATCTTCGCTTGAATTCGAACGAACTGCGTGCGCTGCCACGTGACTGTTTTAAAAACACTTTACTGGAATACCTTGATATTAGCGACAACCATCTTACCTTATTTCCAAGCAGTGCATTGACACAAGTAGGATTCACCTTGAGGCGACTGGAGTTAGCTGGTAATCGTTTAGAATATCTTGACTCAGCTATGTTTAATGCAATCGCATTCTTACATGAACTGAACCTTGCCCATAATGCGCTAACTGTTCTTTCGGACAACACATTCGCTGGGCTGTCGCGGCTACAGTACCTCGATCTTTCTTATAATTCTATTAAGACAAACTTCAAAGAGCTGTTCCATAATTTACCATGCTTACGACGTCTTGCCATGGCCGGGGCTGGGCTACGAATGGTGCCTCATATGCCACTTGTTAACCTTACAGAGCTCAATCTTAGTAATAATTTAATAGCTTCATTTCGAGAAATCGATGTACGTCATATCGCAAACCTTCGAGCTCTTGACCTTGCTCGGAACCGTTTTACATCTTTGCAACCGGCCATGTGGGCAGCTTTGCCTCGGCTAGCCTCTCTCGATGTCTCATATAACCCTATTGTGCGTATCACATATGGTGCTTTTGACGGTCTCGATTACCTACTCCATTTACGTATTGACCATCTTCGCAACTTAGAGGCGGTTGAGCCACGCGCATTTCGACCCCTTTCGTCACTGCGTTCACTTGCGCTTGAGTCACCGATGGGCGGCAGAAAGAATGATGCATCTTTGGCGGACATTTCAGCAGCAGTACCCAGTCTTGAGTCACTTACGATTATTGTGCGAGACTTGACGCTTGATTCGCAGTTGCTTGGTCTACACTCACCCAAACTGCGCGTATTGGAGTTGCGTGGGATAGCACTACGACATATATCTTCTCACGCGTTTGAAGCGTTAGGTCGACAACGCGCATTGACACTGCGCATAAGTAACACAGGTGTGAGCGTATTGCCTCCCGGCCTTGCACGTCCGTTAGCGCGAGTGCCGCACCTTGCTCTGGACCTAAGCAATAACCAATTGATCAACTTTGGGCCTTCTACATTATACCCTAACCTCACGGGCTGGAATAGGCTTGCGACTAAACTTCTTCCCGGTAAGAGCTTGACTTATTTTTATTTTTTCTCTGCGTTTAAATCTTTATGGGTTTTTAATAAGCGCACAATTTGCAGGTGGGCTCGTGCTTGTAGGCAATCCGTTACGGTGTGGCTGTTCGGCTTCTTGGGTGGGAGCGTGGCTTCGACGTTGGACTGCCGAAGTGGGCGGTGGGGCAAGAAGTGCACGGGAGGCGGCGCGGCGCAGCCAGTGCCAGCGTGTGGACGCTGCACCACGAGCGCTGTTAGCGCTTGACGCTGACGAGGCTGAGTGCCATGCCAGCGCCCTTAGCAGCAGTGCAGCTCTCGCTTCTGCCCCGCAGCATTTCTCAGCACTAGTTCTGCTAGTTTTACTAATACAAGGAATCTGTTCAGTTGTGTTTAGCTAGTGAATCAGGTTTTTTAGAAGATGTTAACTTAATACATTTCTTAAGTTGTTTCTTGTGGCTGGTGATGAACGCTGACAGAATTTTATAAATTTGGGAGTGTAACACATTTTGTGTACTGTGAGATACAAGTGGCAACCCGTGTCTTCAAAATTAAAGTTTCAAGAAAATTCATGACGTTTTTACTAAAAAATTCTCAGTACTTGTAGAAAAATCATTTGTAAACGACAAACACTGTGACTATGCATGATGCAGTGACTCTTGGAATCTAATATTATAAATTTGACAACGAATAATATCTAGTTATATTGAATGGATATTTAGATTACAAAATAAATCAATTTTGTAAATACCAACGAATTGAACGTAGCGAAATTTATTACTAAAACAAGATTTTAACACATATCAACTTACCCTTCGCGTGTTGATTATTAATTTTAATTTGGAGAAACTTTTCTTATAAATAACTAATTATGTGAAAAAACAGCGTCAAACGCTGTGGAGAAAGTACGGTTCTTATTTCTAAACTGTTATGTACGAGTATATAAGCATATTAGAAAAGCTGGATTTTAATAATTCTTGTAAACTTGAAAACAAAAAGAATTTTTCCATAGGAATTATATGACAATAAAATTAACCATTTCCGCTTAACATTTTTCTAAGTCGGACATATTACGTAGTAACACAATCAGGGTTCAACCCATGAACGCTACTTTTAAGATACTTTTGAATGTTGATTTAAAGTTTGGATAGACGTACAGTGATTATGATCCTCTTCAATTATAATTTTGATTTGTATAGCCTGCATATTTCGGCGGTATTGTTTTAGTAAAAGAAATAAGCATCAGAGGATCCTTAACGTTTCATTTTTACATAAATGTGAGTTGGTATATTGCTTAACTGCGTCTAATTAAACATTTATCATCTATTTCAAAATCTCATAACTCTGGTAAAGCGTATGATCAATATAATACGCGCATATCGTATATGTCTGAATAAATTTCGTTTGCTTATTTTTTCTTATTTCAATTATTATTATTTTACTGGAACTATTAATCACTGTAAAATATTAACGGATGGTGGTAAGCAGTAACCATTTGAATCATAACAATATTCTAATTTAATTCATAAGAAATTTCCTTTCCGAGCACAGGTGTACAGTCAAAATTTGGGAGGAAGGTCATTTTTAATAGTAAAATTTGGTTTTTTATTAACGAAAATTTGATTTTCGATTATTTTATTCTTGTATTAGGCATGGGTAATAACACTCTTACCCTATATAAAATCGTATCTGTATATTGAATTTGAATTATGGATTTGAATATTTGATGTTAAATCTATATATTTCAATATCTATATTTCGGTTGATAACTAGACATCTGCGTGATTCTGTAACTTCGTAAGTCAGTACTCAGTACTACACGGTGATACGCAATTTTTGATGGCTTTCGTTTCCTTAAGTTTATAGATACTCGTACATTGTAATATCTATGTATTGGTCAATATCTATGATGCTCTGAAATTAGTATATCCTACAAGGTAGTCAGAGTAGTTATATCAGTTTTACTCAAATATATATGACAACTATTCTTTCGCGCGCTTATAGTTCGTTAAATTTTTGAATTGTGTATTATATCATATAATATATTCTACGTTATTATTTCTTCGAGTATGATATTAGATGTTCTATAAAGTGACGTTGTACTGGAGTGGTATATCTAATATATAGTTAATCTGCTGTCCGATACAAATATATTGGATATTGTACCGATGTATAGATATTGTATCTCTAAATGATTTGATCGCCCACTATTATCTTGTTCAATTAGTACACCTATTGTGTAAGGTATTACATTGGAAAATTGTTCTAAGTGTTTTTATTTTGTGTATTGTTTGTTTTATGAGTAAAACACGTGACATTTGGAGGTGTGTTTGGTTGTGTGTGTACAGTGAACGCGTGTTTATGTGGCTGCCTCTACTAGGCGTGCTGGATCATTCCAAGAATTCTATATACGACTGTTCTAATTATGTAAATTTTGTAAATAGCCGATTGTGGTGAAACTAAAAATGTATTAAATATTTTTGTATAAGCAAGTCTTTTTCATTGAAAAATATACCTGATTATATAATAAGAATACAATGAAATCATCATAATCATCACCATTATCGTCGTCAGAAGTTTTTAAAGTATGGAGCAATAACCATTTCATACCCCGGTTATAGTGGCAGACGACATGGCTGGAGTTATCGCACGCTCTCTCTACCGAGAGGCTCAAGTACTTTTTACGAGCTGTTCGATCGAGGAAGAAGATACACATTAAAATACAATTATAATTAAATCACCAGAAGAAAGTTAAACGTTCGAGTTGTCGGTTTTTTAAGCGATTATTATATGTTTTATAATATGAAAGTCATGTGTTGAATAAGATTTTTCATTTTTATAAGATCGTTAATTTCCTGATAAAAAGTATAAACGTTTTTAATAAAGTAACTTTTTATCCGCCGAATGTCGTACGCTTACTGCGTGCTGGACAAACATGCATGCGGCGAAGGAACTGCTAACAGCATTTAACGGAGAAAATCCTCCACTTGATGTATAGAAAATTATGCACTTAAATGCGTTACTTACAAAACCGAACCTTGGCAGCTAAAGGACTAAGCGCTCGCTGTAAAATTTCATAGTACGCGAGCAACCCGGGTTCACTTTCTATTGACATTAACGAAATTGTGAGTGCTGGCATATAATAGCAGTATAATGGTGATGTGTTTCGTATAGTGAGTGTAGAGAACCGGAGCTCATTTTTACTGGTAACCAGGCATTCCATCAGGGTAACTACTTATCTGCATTTTGATTAATTATCGAGGATTCTTAATGTAGATATGTTATAACATCCACTTACCATTAGGTGGACTCTGTGCTCTTTTGTCACCCACATTCTATAAAAATAGTTTTACTTGGAATTTTAAGTGATCATTTACAACGTGATCGGCGGTGAAGGAACTCCTCATTTGTGGAATAAAATCTTTCAAGGTCATGTGAAGTCCGCAAACACGCATCGGACCAGACAAATGCACCACAACCCGAAAATGAGATGAGTCCTATGCCTTGCAGTGGGACGAGCACGTAGCCTTAAACTTTATTAATGCGAAAACTTATTAGTTCACCAGAAGAGTGTGACGACATCGAATAAAGAAGGCATCAGGTCATCCTTGTTATCATCCTTTGAGGACTGGGATAGAATGCCTCACATTCTATAATTGTTAACTTGCCATATCCCTAAACCGGAGCAAATCAGTTGGTGCTGATGGAAATAGGTAAGGAATGATTTCCCTCCGGTTGGACTCCCAGTCAAGAGAAGCCTTTAGGAGAATTAGGCGTTACTTTGCGGGATCCATTATATTAAATATGTAAAAAATTAACTAGCTTAGATTCACGTAATAAAATAAAGTGACGTGTCTTACCGAGCTTGACGTGCACATCCCGCCGTCCCTCAATTGCAGTTAGCGGTCTGCCACCGCAGTCTCTGGACCTTACTTAGTGGTTTTAAACAAAGGATTCCTTTTTTTTTATAGAATAAAGGTGACAAACGAGCACACAGTCCACCTGATGGTAAGTGGTTGCTGTGGCCCATAGACATCTACATCTATCTTCGTTTGTGAATTAAAATGCAGATGCGTTGCCATCCGTGAGGACTAAGATAGTGTGCCTCTTTTCCAGTAAACTAGGTCTGCGGTTTTCAACAGTCACCATACAAAACACAACAGCGTTAAACTGCTATTTTACGCTGGTATTCTGTGAGAGCGTGGTCCTTCCCCGGTCGAGCCGACCCATTCGTTCTACAACTGTACTATTAATATAGCGGCAGCATGGCTCTACCACGTAAAAAAGCTCCTTTTTTAAAGGCGAAACAAGTGTCATATTATTTAGTGTCTTTCCTAGTGTAGTGGTGATAGGAGTAGTGGTGTTGGGAGTAGTGGTGCTGAGATGGTTGTGAGGTGCTCAAACTAGGTAAGACAAATTTTATTTTCTTATGCGGATTTTAGAAAATTAATTTTTAACATCTTTATAAGAAGTTCTACCACCTAGTACATAAAATTAAATATATTTTACCTACGCAACGAGAATACATAATTAGCAGTGGCAGTTGTGAATTAACCGACGGTGCGTTTATCAAATTAAAGACTTAGCAAACACTATTTGGACACCGTCACAGTCATGACTGTTGTGAAAACTGCATAAATCTTAAATGAAGGCATTTAAGGTTGAGATAACGCGCAAAGACTGGAGTAGCGTGTGCAGATATGATCTAAATGTCGCCGAGGTTTTCAGATCTAATAACTCATTTAGTCATCATCATCATCATTACAGCCCTTCACAAGTCCACTGCTGAACATAGGCCTCCCCCAAGGAATGCCACAAAGCACGGTCCTGAGCCACCTGCATCCATCGACTTCTTGCATGTCTTACCAGGTCGTCACTCCATCTCATGGGGGGTCGCCCTACACTTCGCCTACCGGTACGAGGCTGCCACTCGAGAACCTTTCTTCCCCATCGGTTGTCGGTTCTTAGAGCTATATGGCCGGCCCATTGCCACTTCAGCTTACTAATCCGTTGGGCTATGCCGGTTACTCTAATTCTACTGCGGATATACACATTTCTAAGTTTATCACGCAGATAAACCTCGAGCATAGCCCTCTCCATAGTTCGCTGAGCGACCTTGAGCTTCCTCATACGGCCAGCAGTGAAGAACCACGTCTCAGATCCGTAAGTTATCACGGGCAACACGCACTGGTTGTACAATTTCGTTTTAAGGTTTTGAGGTATGCCTGACGAGCTGAAAGATTTCCCGAACGCTGCCCAGCCTAGTTGAATCGGTCGATTGACCTCTCGGTCGAAGTTGGACTTACGTAGTCGGACTATTTGTCCCAGGTAAACATACTCATCAACAACTTCGAGCTTAGTGTTCCCAACAACTACCGGAATAGGTGTGACATGGACATTA